ATTCCCTGTGTGCAGTGCAAAACAAGTGACTGGCAAGTGTCCATTATGATTCCTAGAATCCTCAAATCCTAGTGCTAGGGAAAAAAAAACAATCATAGCAGGCTAAGTGCTGGATAATAACTTTGTCTCCATAGACCTCTTTCCTTGGGACCCTATAGGATTAGGGTTCACCCTCTGAAAATGACAGTGTATAGGAATCAGTGACTGCACAAGAGAGACCGAGATTAGATCAACTCAACCTGGTTGTGGGAGCAAGCATCCGTTCCCACTTCAGAGAGGGTCTCTATTGTCTCTGCCAGTCCTCTAACCATCCTGTAGGCGGTCCCAACCACACAATGCCACAGCACTTTCCCATTGACATTCCAATTTGCTAGCAAATGACTAGGGTTTTAGCAGATTGGAGTATTTGCATTAAATTTTACGTGATGAATATTTTATTCTTAGGTGACTCTGTTTCTGCAGCAGCACTCCCTGTGTGATTACTCTCTCCCCTAGCCCTTTTCCATTTTCTCTCTGTGGATCTTTTCCCTCACATCCAAGAGACCCAATAGAGACCTTAAAAATGAACTATTTGAGCCTGAGTAAGCATTGGTCAATGTCTGCTAGTGCCATCTAAATTCTCTTAAAAATCTTTGCCCAGAATACCACCAGCTTCATACCCCCCACCCCCGCCCCTGGTCCTGGCAGTTTGCGAAGAAGAAAGAACAGAGAAGAAAGGAGACTACAAGAGCAGCTACAGTTGCTGGTGCTCTGAAGGGCAGCTGTGGCTCACACCCAGAAAGTCTCATGAGCTCAACAGACACCAGGAAAAAGGCTTCTTTCTCTGCAGCGCTGAGAAGCTTTTCCATTGTTCCTCTTCCCTTTATAAGCTCCCGGTTTTAAAAAGAAAATGTGCACTTGTCTCTACCAAGCCAATCTAACTTGTCCTGTTTCCAAAGTGAACTTGTGTGGAAGGTGAAGTTTTCAGTCTTGAGGTCACGCCTATGTGCCACATCCCACCGTCTGGAGCTTCATGCTGTATTACACACAATCAGATCTGGCCTTTTGGACTTTTTTTGCGACCCCCACCCCCACCCCCTGCTAGCTCCAGCTCCAGACTGCCTTCTCCCTCCCTCCTCCAATTTGTTCACATAATGAGGATGCCTGGTAATCTACACTCAAATATGAAATAGGCAAGAAACATAATCCCCATGTCTGGGACGCTTTCCGAAGGAGTTTCAGTGCAGGCTGCCCAGCTGCGGCCATGCTCGCATGCTTCCACAGGAGCACGATCTGAGCCACATTGATCTGCTTAATTTCTTTTGTGAGTCCTTCCCTTGCTTTGAAAGAGATGGGTGTGAGTCTCTGAAGATGTTCAGAAGCTGCTCTTAAATCTTGTGAGGAAGGAAAGCCATGGAGAGCCCCCTAGTTCCCCACCCCAAAATGCATAAGTAAACCAAGCTAATAGGACTTCATTGGGGATATTAACTGAATTATCCTTAGCAAAGGAGATGGATGAGGTGGGGTAGTGAATTGGCAATTCTGCAAGGAAGAAAGTGGTTGCTTGTCTGGCACAGGAATTAAAAAATCTGTACTGTTCGTAGAAACTAGGTGATGGATTCATGACAATCACAGTTTGCTCACCTTAAAGCCCTGTTCCTTTCTAAGACGACTTTAGCTGCTCTGGCTCAGCTAATGCGAGATTATTCAAACTGCAGATCCAGTGACACTGTAAAGAATCAGACCTAAGAACCAGTCATGAGCTTCAAGATGAGAATGAGGAGCACAAGGTGTACACTTAGCCCAGCTGCTGCAGAGGGGGTTTACCAGTGATAACTAAGAGTTTAATTTTTTCTTAAAAAAAAAAAAAGCAGCCTATGAAAAATAAGTTACCAGTTCTTTGCAACAGTAGCTTCGCAAAGACTTATTTTTTCTCCCATGTCCAGACGGGGTCGTCTATTGAATGAGGCTCTTTTATTTTGCATGGGGCAGGGGATTTGTGACCATGGTCCCCCCTTTTATTCCTCTCTCTATGGAAACCCAGATCATGGGGAGAAATATGTGAGACTGAATAAAGAGAAGCCGCAGAAAGGAGCGCTTGAGAGCGGCATCTGTTACACTTGGGAAGTTAGACTGACAGGAGAGGGCGAAGGAAACCTCTCCAGTAGATTAGTTAGAACAGCAAGAAGATTTGACTATATGCAGATATTTTCTTCAAAAAACAGAATGCCTTATGCAAGAGACAATTCTATCACAGCTGATAAAGGATGTGATACTAACTGAACCGAATTCATTGAATGGTATCTATATCCATGAGAACAGTTTTTTAATAACACAAGGAAGAGGGGACAACAGAGAGAGAGAGAGAGATGATTATGATTTGTGCTCCTGACAGATGCAATTCTTACATTACACACTGAAAAAACAACAGTATGAAAAACCTGTCCAGGGCTCAGATGCCTTCTCCTTGCTACTAGCATTCCCTTCCTCCCTCAACCTTGGGGCAAATGGTCTGAACCACTTTTGCCTGGCTGGCAAAATGGGGTACCTGGAGCAGAGCCCATGAACAAGAAAGAGGAAGGTTGATCATAAGAAGTCAGGCAAGATAGATTGGAAAATAGCCCCTTCTTCATTGAAAAGCCTTATCAGTTGATAATCACCTTAACCCCCTGCACAGCCAGACTGTGTTAGCAACACTTTAAACCAAATGCAGCTGCAAGGTTGGGGGTGGGGAACCTACCAACAACATGGCAATGATAACGATTGTTTTACACGTATCATTTCTCCAACGCAACGCGTTTCTCTATGACCTCTAAACTGACCTGACACAGACCGGCAAATGGCTCCTCAAACAGGCAGCCCAACAGAGCACCACAAAACTTTAATTTTTGTTTGATTTTTATTTTTTCGGAAACCAGAAGTTCATTTCCAAATGAAATTACATTCTTGAAAAGTAAGATGCACATATTTGGTAATAAAAAATAATGTTCTTCAGCCGAGAGAGAGAGAGAGAGAGAGAGAGAGAGAGAAAGGTACAGAGGAAAAATCAATTTCTAGTTTAAAAGCAGATAAGCCCTTACAATAGAACAACGGCAAATGAAACTACAATTTCAATCAGGGATGGGGGATGGAGATAGTAAATGATCCTCTCTGGCAATAATTGCTAAGTGTTTCTCTTTTTTATTTTTTAAGATTGAAAGAAATAAATAAATCTCAACCAGATGCCAGGTTTTCAGTTCTAATAGACACGTTTGCATTTACCAATACCATCCCCTCATGCTCTGTGTTCTCATAAGAAATGATTCATTTCATAGGAAATAGATGCTCTATAGCTATATAAAGGAACGGCAGAATAAGCTCACCTTGTTTTTATTTTTTCTCATTTTCTTGCATTTTCTTCAGATCTGTCTTCTTAGAGAAACTAATGCCTTAATGACTTTCTGGTAGCTGCAAGCCTTCTTTTATTTCTGCTAAATATATGAAAATGTATGCAAATTTAAATCAAGCTTAACCTAGGAGCTCTAGCAATATATTTAATGGAATTTCAAACCAATAAGGGAACTCTGATGCTGTCTTCTGGAAGTGCAAATATAATCACGCAGCTAGGTTACCTCCAAAATTATGCAATGAAAGGTCATTTTTTTTTTTAATTTCAGATCATGTTGGGTATCCGGTGTTGCCTTATCCCAGCTAGAGCAAATCTAAAAAGCTGTGCATTTCCCCTTACTCTGCTTCCAAGCAACGCCTTTGCGCGGGGCTGTGGAGCACACAGACTTGTCCTTCTCTAACTTGTGAAAGCTTGGAGGAGTCTAAGTATTTCCTGTCTTTTCTTCTAATCAAAATGCAAAAGCAACCCTGGCTTCTCAAACTGAAGACAAATGCAAGCTCGATGTGGACTGAAGAGAAGTTGATGGTACTTGATGCCAAATAACTTACCTTTTCGTTGTCTAAATTTCTAAGGACACATTACATAATTCGCTTTTCTTTAGGTGAGGGGAGGGTGAGTGCTAAAAACAGTTTTCCAAAGGGACAGCACCTGAAGTGGGGTCCTGAACGTTTTTTCTGCCACGTCTTTGGCGAGTGAGCCCGCTGAGTATCTGGGGGTGAGCGGCCAGTGAGGGCTGCAGGCTTCTCTGCCAGCAGCGCCTGTGACAGAAGTTCTTGGACCTCTGAAGCGAGCTGACCTGGAGCAGCAATAAAGCGCAGCTTCCAATTGACTAGCTGACTGGGAAGCAAATTTCAATCTAACAATTTTGCCAGTATCAAGTTAAACTAGTTTCGCAGAATGTTTCAGTTCTTCCTGCACAAGTTAATTTTTTTTCCAGAAGAAATTTCTGATGTTTATCTTAGATGCGTTCAGGTCTTGGTATTGAGTCTGTTATCATTGATAAAATGAAATAAATTAAACTGCAATAGTTCTGTAGAATCACATACTGCAATTTTGCTGATTTAGAGTCCTGTCGATGACGTTACTTTTGCTCGAAGTTTGTATCCACGCTTTGTTGTGCATTCTCTGGCAGATAACTAAGCTGGAACGCTGCGTGATTCTGAAAAATCCCTCTGCACTAATACCAAAATGACACCTAAACTTTTTTTATTTTTCCCTTTATTTATGTTAATATAATTTTTAAAAAGAATTCTTAAATCCCGGTTTGTCGCGTTGTGCTACCCCTACCCCCGCCCTCCATCCTATCCACCCCCAAACGTATACACAAACACGTCGCTCTTTTCCTTCCTCCGCTACAAACACCCTCACAGTCCTGGGTGGGGGGTGGGGAGCAGAAAGGGTTAATCAAATGAACCACAGCCACTCAGCGCCAGGCAGCCAATGGAGCCGAAAGACTGATTCACTTCCTGCTTGGGTCTAGCTGAAACTCCCCAGCTAAACCAGCCTAATTTGGAACGCGAGCTCAGCCTCCCGAGCAGCTATTGGCTGGGCTCACGCCTGGTCAGCCCGAGACACGCTGCGATTGGCCGTGGCTGGTGCCGGTAACCTGCTCTGGCTGCTTTGGCTCCCCCGCACCGTAGATGTCAAAGGCTGAAGCAGCTCCCTTTGCCACATTATAACTAGTAGGGGATCCTCATCCACCATGGCCACAGCTGCCTCGAATCCCTACAGCATTCTCAGTTCCAGCTCCCTGGTCCATGCGGACTCTGCGGGCATGCAGCAGGGGAGTCCTTTCCGCAACCCTCAGAAACTTCTCCAAAGTGATTACTTGCAGGGAGTTCCCAGCAATGGGCATCCCCTCGGGCATCACTGGGTGACCAGTCTGAGCGACGGGGGTCCGTGGTCCTCCACACTGGCCGCTAGCCCCCTGGACCAGCAGGACGTGAAGCCCGGGCGCGAAGACCTGCAGCTGGGTGCGATCATCCATCACCGCTCTCCACACGTAGCCCACCACTCGCCTCACGCTAACCATCCGAATGCCTGGGGGGCGAGCCCGGCTCCAAACCCGTCCATCACATCAAGCGGTCAACCTCTCAACGTGTACTCGCAACCGGGTTTCACCGTGAGCGGCATGTTGGAGCACGGCGCACTCACCCCGCCGCCGCCAGCCGCATCTACACAGAGCCTGCACCCGGTGCTCCGGGAGCCTCCGGACCACAGCGAATTGGGCTCCCACCACTGCCAGGACCACTCCGACGAGGAGACTCCAACATCGGATGAGTTGGAACAGTTCGCTAAACAATTCAAACAAAGAAGAATCAAGTTGGGCTTCACGCAAGCCGACGTGGGGCTGGCGCTGGGCACACTGTACGGCAACGTGTTTTCGCAGACCACCATCTGCAGGTTTGAGGCCTTGCAATTAAGCTTCAAGAATATGTGCAAGCTGAAGCCTCTGCTAAACAAGTGGCTGGAGGAGGCAGATTCGTCCACTGGGAGTCCGACCAGCATTGACAAGATCGCCGCTCAGGGCCGCAAGCGCAAGAAGCGAACCTCTATCGAGGTGAGTGTCAAGGGCGTGCTGGAGACCCATTTCCTCAAGTGTCCCAAGCCTGCCGCGCAGGAGATCTCCTCGCTGGCAGACAGCCTCCAGTTGGAGAAAGAAGTGGTGCGTGTCTGGTTCTGTAATCGAAGACAAAAAGAGAAAAGAATGACTCCACCAGGGGATCAGCAGCCGCACGAGGTTTATTCGCACACCGTGAAAACAGACACGTCCTGCCACGATCTCTGACTGGAGGAAGTGAGGAGGCAGCGGCCGCACTGGGAGCAGCGCGGATTTCTTTTTCTCTCCCTCTGTTCTTTTCCCTCTAACATTCTTTATTATTGCTATCTAGCACTCTTGCTCTGTCTCACTCTCCCCACCCTTCTCTCCTTGCTTTCTGTTCTATTTCTTTCTTGCTATTCTTTCTTCCAATTTCTTTCTCTCTTTCTCTCTTCTTCCTTCCTTTCTCTTTCTTCTTCCTTCCTTTCTTAACAGGGGATTCTACGTTGAGAAAGAAAAACAAAAAAACAAAAACAAAAACAAAAAAACAAAGTCATGCTCGTATTCAAGCTACTCAACGCTGATAGAATACTTAACATAAAGCAGTCCAGGCGGGAATCTCATATTCCCTGCTACACGGACAGTCCTTTCCAACCTTTTCTGCTCATCAGTACATATTGTTTACTGAGTAAGATTTGCTTGGGTCGCTCCTCTCTAGGAAGAGCAAGGAGTGGGATAATGTGGGGGGCGGGGTGGGGAGAGGGAGTGGGGTGGGAAGACAGATGTGTGCCTCTGAATAACCTTCCAGCGCCTTGGTTATAGCAGCTGTATTTCAGGTGAAATCTGTTTTACAATAGACTAGTTTTGCATTTTTTAAAACTTCTATAGCGTTTCTAAATGTCTGCGGTGTTTTACTACAAGCTGTACACAATATTTGTGAGATAATTTGTATCTAATCGACCACTCCACATTATTATTGCTATTATTATTATTCCTTCATTGAGCTGATGGTTTTTTAATTGCTTAGAAAGGGAGGGGAGGCTGGGAGGAGGAGGAGGGCAGATGCCTACCCACCCACCTACCCCTATCCCAAATAGTATGGAGAAGAGAGGATACAAAGGAGAGGGCTGATGTTGATGGTATTGGTTATATATAAAAATACATATATATATTTTTTTTCCGGGGGTGGAGTGCCTAAGATGGGCAGACTAGGCAACCTGATTGGGTTTGCAAACTAACAGCGGGAAGTAGAAGAAGCGATTTCGCAGTACTCCGGTCCTCCCTCCCGGAACTGTGGAACCCCTGCAGGCTTCCACAGCTTAGATCCAGGTGCCTGCGAAGGATTCGGAGGTGGCACGGGTCTAACAGGAGGTGGCCAAAGCGACCGAGTGTTTCCGAATCCCTTGCGGTCCAGGATGACTGCGAGCAGAGCTCTCCGAAGGCCCGCAGCCGCTCCTGGGCGACAGCCGGCGCGACACCACTTTGGCCTTCCTAGAGGAAAGACTGCCTTCACAAAGATTGCTTTCGCTCGATTTCACGACCCAGAGACGTTGGCGACATACTAGACCAGCGCCTCCCAGTTTGGTTCACCTCCACTTCTTCGCACGCCTCTAGAGGAAGAAATCCTTCCCAGAGGGGCGGCCGGGTGAAGGGGAACAGGCTCTCTCTGCTCAATGCAGAACGACAATGAAAAGATTGGCAAAGGTCACAGGGATTCTGGTCCAGCCAAACGCCACCTCCTCTCCCTTGTATACACCGCTGTGTGTTTGTGGGGAGTCTCTTCAGCGTCTCTGACAAGCACAGCTGGTGGAAACCCTTGGCGAGGCGAAGAGCCAGGGAGCGACCTAGCGAGCGCCCCGGAGGGGGACGGCTGGATTCCTGCTTTTTTTTTTTTTTTTAATCTTTCTGTGTGTATGTGTCTCTGTGCCTGGGTGCGTGTGTGCGTGTGCAAATGTGTGTGTGTAGATAGATGTGTGTATTGTATTACTATATTAAAAAAAACAACAACAAAATATCTCGCTAGGCTACGTAGAGATTCCAAAAATATGCAGTTGCTGTGGCTTTATTGCTAGCTCTCATGTCCACATGCCCAGTCACAGGTGCACCTCACTCCCAGCGAGAACACACGCGCGGGACCCGCCAATTACCCAACACCCAGCCGCTACCGGAGAGACCTAGCTGGGGGATCCTCACGCCTTGTCTGGTCACCCTGCCTGGCCTCCAGCAGCAGCTGCAGTAGACAAAGCTTCAAACTACCTAAGGACCAGAATGCCCTGAGCCCCAAGTCCAGGATGCCCTAGTATGAACTGCCAGGCCTCTGGTCCTTCACACTGTGTCTATCCCAGCTGCGGGTACAAAAGCATGTGTTAATTCAAATCCCGGACCCTTTTACTTTCTGTTGTCAAGTCTCTACATTCTGTTATTAGTTAGGCTTTAGTTCTGGGATTTTTTGTTCCAAACTGACTTCATGTTTTACAACTGTTTGGGGGATACTTTGTTTTGATTTTTTTTTTCTTTGCAGTTAAATGCTGTTGTTCAAACCTGAGTTAACCCAAATATTTCTGCCGACTTTATAATTGTACAGTTTTGTATATTAAACGTTTTTGAAGTTATTAATTTAAAAAAAGATCATTTAGTTTATTCATTTAGTAACTGATGTATAATAAACGCTATTTTCATTAAGAGTTGCTTTTTCAACTATTTTATTCAAATTGCCTATTGCAGTTGCCAACAATTATTTATTTTCAATAAATTCTGCATTGTGTTTAAAAGGAAATTCTTTCAAAGATGAGTTGGGTGTCAAAAAGAAAACAATTTGCTGTAATGTTTGATGTGAACAGTTTTAGTCAAGGGGTTTATATTGACGCAATATTTTATTGTTGTAAAAGATTAAAAATGTTTAAATAAAACATTTTTCCAAAAAAACATATCTATCTATACTTGCATGTTTCTCTATTTACGTCTGTTTTCTTCTCCTGGCTGTATTGTGTACGGTGTGAAGTGAAGTGTTTAAACAGAGACACGTTCTGGGTGAGCAGCGGGTTTGCTTTGCTTCAGGTTGGAAATCATTAGTCATTGTTTTGATTCTTGATTCTTTTCCTTTGACTTTTGATCCTTTGGTGCAGCCCGGAAGTACACACACACACACACACACACACACACACACACACACACAAGCTCACGCACAGTCTGTTTGCCTGCCCTCGCAAGAAACACCCAGACTGGTGGGAAAGGGCATGGGGACCCTCAGGCACCCCGACACAGGGGGATTTTATTTCAGCAGGTAAAAACTTATTAGTGCTTTCTGAAAGAATAGACTCAGTTTTTTTTTTTTCCTCCTCACCCTCCTCCTAACCTGTTCTTTCTAAAACTGGACCAAGGCTTTCCTTAAGGTTATTTTCTCTGGCTACCCTCACCTGCTCAGTTCCACTCAGCAGGTCCTCTGGTATGTAAGTCCCATTGCCATAACATGGCAAGTTGTTTTCACGTAAAGTGCTCTTTTTCTTAAGTCTCTATGTGGGCCCAAGATTTATGGTGGAATATTTTTCCTAGCAAGACTGAATTCTGTCCATTCCTACTTGAGTTTGGGGAACGAAGAAATGATTACACTGAAATTTTGGGGAGAAAGGTTGGTTTTTATTTTGTTTTGTTTGCTTTTTTAGATTACAAACTGCTTCTCACCTTTATTGTTTTGTTTCACAAGACCATCCTTAGAATAAGGAACATTTTGTGATGACTGAATAATATTTTATTAAACCTCACGCAACTTTTTGATAGAGGCATATGAAGCAAAAAAAAAAAAAAAAAAACAAACATTTAATTCTAACTTCCATCAGTTAGCCTTTCTCAACTCATTATCTGAAATGTTTGTAGTTGTTGTTTGGCAGAGCAAAATTATTTAACCATTTTAATAGATAATGATTATCACATGTAACACCTTGCGTTTTTACATTATCTAATTATTTACATATGCACGGTTCAACATATGTGTATACGTGTGTATATGTATGCGTTGTTTATGAAATAAGGCACATGCTACGTGTATACACAAGAGCATTTGTGTTTTTCTAAATGATATTGATCTATGTATATAGAAGCACAAAATTCAGTCATAAATCTGTAGGATCTCTGGCAGTTCATACTAACTGATCTCTTTATTCAGAATCATATAAAAATTTTGAGTTGATTAAAAAGTCCCAATTTTCCTTTTGAAAGTACTAAGAACAAGTTGAAGTGCATCCTTAACTATTTAATAGAGAATATTCCAGATGTTTTCTCATGTTATATAGACACACACATTCATCACTTTTTAATTTGTGTTTTTGAGAAATATTTTACTGATATATTTCTGCATATATATTAGTGTTGCTTCCTTTACTTCTGGTTTTCTTTATCCTAAGATACAATCAGGCTTACTTGTATTTTTGCTTGACCTTATCAACTTTTTTTGTTTAATAAGCTTAATTTTTTTTTAGAACTCAGGAGATAATGGTTCTTTCTATCATTTTCCTTGTCCTCAGATTGTTATAAGTCCTACTCCCAACTAAGGCTTTCCTAGGAAAACAAGCAGGGTTCCCAGTCTGTCAGAGGTCTTAACAACAGTAACTCTTATGAGCTAAGAACTGGTGGACTAAAAATGAATAATAATCATATGGGGAGAAGGCAATAAAATTTCATTTCCATCGCTATTTCAGAATAATAGAGGTGGATAGGATACAGATGTTATAGATATAAACAACATCAAATATGAGAATCATGCATATGTGTGTGTTGGGGGTGTGTGTGTGTGTGTGTGTGTGTGCGTGTGTTGGTTACATGGTTTCTCCTTGCTGCATGCATAGCACAATGGAAATAAATAAACAGCATTTCTCTTTTCAATAATAAAATAAGAAAACTATTATCCTTGGAAATTGGTTTCTTATCTTAAAAAGAATAGAGTATATAGAGGAAATTGTTTCTAAATTAGTGCATAAATTGTGTTTTTCTTTAATATAATCAGGCATAATTTCCTTGGAAGTATTTAGTATTTTCCTTTGGTCTAAGCCTGCCTACAGCTGTTCCTTTAATTGCCAGTAGATTCTAAGAAAAATATATTTATTACAAGAAATGTTATATTCAAAAGATCTTTTTTAGGAAGGGGAAGAGCCAAAAAGAAAATGGAGGGAAAGATTGTCAGAGCTAAAATGTAGTTTCCCAAATGCATAATGTCTTTCTTCACGCATCAGGTCTCTTTAAAGGCACATATGTAACTATAGAATTGT